TATATTTTTAAAAGGGTGGTTCTTTTCAAAAGCCTTATTGGTTTGCATGGGCTCCCTTGCCTCATCCATCTGGAAACCCTGTGCTATGTATTTAATTCAATTATGGCAAAATGATAATAAATTAGTAAATAAACAGTAAATAACAAGCATAGAAGTACATTTACCAGAGACGTATCCTAAAGCCGCTGCAAAACTCCAAAGTTTGGGTTAAGTTTGGCGCTTGACGACAAAACCTCAAAACATACCTTTGAAAGGAGAAGCTTTCCCACAAACTCTAGATGAAAACAGAAGACAGAGGATGATTAGATTGTTTTGAATTCTTCAGAAGCTTCACACACTACAACGCGCTTTTTATTTGAATTGACCTTGAAATGATTACGCACGAACAAAACTACAACAAGCGAGCAAGAATTCATGAATTTGGTTAATGGGCGAACAGACTCAAATGACGAACGCTTACCCATATGGCTCTGACTTAATTTCGTTGAAAGTCCCTTTTCTTATTATTATGTACCCTGGCTCCAGAGGTCGATTCTCAAAATATTCACAGTCTTGCACAAACGTTTCAGTCAAGATAAAGCTCCGGAAAGCACTGGCAACTAACTACAACTGACTTCTCCTTTCCCCCGCAAAAAAGAAAAAAACCAATGTTAAAGTCCGGCAGGATCATTTCTGACCTCGACTGAGCAACATTGACCGGGATGAGGTGAGGTGAGGGGTGATAGTGATACCAAATCCGCGGGATAGGTATTCTGTGGGTAAGCGAGTGCAAAATTCTTAACAATTTTTGTCTCCTGAGATTGTAGCATGAGATACACATTGCTTAGGGTTTGATAACACAGTTGTCGCAGCTGAGTGAGGGAGACAGTGGGGCTTACAGTATTGAGCTTTATTTCAAGCGGTATTTCGGGTAACTGAAAGTGGCTCTGACTATTTATTTTTAATGGTCATGTACCCTGGCTGCAGCGCTAGGTCGGTTCTTAAAATATCTAGCGAGAATTAAACCAGCACTTAGGATTTCATGACATTGTAAGGCAGCCTAGCGACATAGCCGCGAACCATCAGTGAGGGATTTGGAAAAAGAACAAAAAAAACCCTCTAGCAACCAGGGTAAGTTTTGTTTGGTCATAAGTTTATCGTTGCTTTCTCTATTTTGAAATTAAAATGTTGACACCTACCACTTTTTGTGGACAAAAGGAATCCTTAAGTGGTTGGAAAATGCTTTGGTTCCCAGCTGTAAAGAGTATTATCTAAAGAATAGAAGACAGAGAGAATAATGGAAATGAAAAAACCCTGCTATTTCAAGCGTCAGCAAATTAAGCACGAAGTATTAGATAAATGAAGCCACTGCTACGTACTCTTACCGACGGGACCGACACGTGGTAATCCGGACCACGCGAAGGACTAAAGCGAACGTTTCAGGGTAAATTATGTCAGACTTGTGTGGATCCGCTGTCTCCCGCTTTGCCGCTCATCAACGCTCTAGCACCGACTCTCTGAGATTAACACAAACGGAGTTCAAGTACAAACAACGCGACAATTGGAATTTTGATTTCTGAGCGCTGGCCTCGTGTTTTGAACTGGCTGGCATGCGTGTTTCTTTTGATTACCGTAGTATTAAGGTAAGAAAATGCTTTCAAATATTTAAAATTATAATTTCAAGAAAGAAGTCAGCAATGAAGAAGAATTCAGTTTCCATCTAGCGAGACAGGGAAGGTTAATGTTGACTGTTCGTTTGATGCCAACTAAAACGATTCCTAGTTAATTCTAGCCTAATATTAACCTTTTTAGAGAGCTGGTTTACGTAACAAAAATAATCTGGTCAAACCAAAAAAATCTGCGTAGATTTCTCGTCTCCTGAAGAAGAATCAGTGCGAAAATACTCTTCTTTGTTTAGCTGTTGAACTTTATCATTTCAAGATCCTTTTTGTAAGATCTTGCGCAGACAAATTATATCGTTGGAATGAACTTAAATTTCCGCCGTTGTTACTGATTCCTTTAACTCACCTTGGAGAAGTTCAAAACCACCATGTCATTACGCTGGCTAATTGGGCGTAATAAACGCATTCCCGTTTGAAACAAATCTTTAAGGTAACTGAAGAATTGTCGTTTATTTGTAAAGTTGCTAGCTTCCTTTTTCAGGTCTCCGGTCAGTTCCACCAAGTTCGTTAAATTGGCTGAAGATAACTAAAAAATACAAAAAATACCAAAAAAAATACAGTCGAACCTCCCGTGAGCGACCACCCAAAATGCAAAGACTAAGTGGTCGCTTACGGGAGGTGGTCGTTTACAAGAATCGAACCACCCGGGGGGCTCTTCCGAGAAGAAGTCCAGGCACATTTACTTTATCAAAGATAATAAGAACGTCTGCGTGGGAGGCTATCGTTTCGTGTGAGCTCAAAGGATACACGTCTTTAAACTTTGCATCATCAGCTGTTTTTATCGTTCGCTGAATTAATTGAGCTATTTCTCTCCTTGTGGCGTACATTCAACTAAAAAATGTGACCCAATTAATTTTGTAGTAGAGTGTATCCACTTGACAGGGTGATTACTTGTGTTATGTGTTGTTGCAGCTGAAATGTTTAGAAGAGTCGAAAACACCCAACAGCCCTCAATGGATGAATCGGGTTATTTTTATGATTCGCCGCCAATTTATCATTATGGTAACAACCCACTATATTTTGCACGTTTCAATTATCAATCAAGTTCAGGAGAACTGCCCTCTTATTCTGAGGCAAGGGACAATCATGCCCCACAGTTTGCATCATTGGTTAGAAGTGATTCGCCAGGCCTTGTACAGTTCGCATCATCTGTTAGAAGTGATTCGCCAGGCCTTGACCGTCTTCAGGCAACTCCTAGTCTAGTCGAATCATCCAGTTCAGATAACGGTGCCAAAAAAAGTTGGAACCGAGAGGACACGCTAGCTTTGATTGAACAGTACAGAAACAGAAAGGATGACTTCAGGGATCCCAAAAAAAGAACAAGCAAGTGTGGGAACAAATAGCTGAAGCCATGAGAAGTGATGGCGGTTCTAGCTTTAGTGCAAAGGAATGTGAAACAAAATTTTAAAATCTGAAAAGATCATACACAGTGTGTGTTGATCATAATAAAATTTCTGGTAACAAGCCCAAGAAATTTTCCCTTTTTGAAGAATTGAAGGAACTGTTTAGTAATGATAATACCATTTAACCTGTTGCTGTTTGTAGCAGCTGAAAGGGTTATCAAAAAAACGACAGGCAGACATCTCAAAAGATGCTGTTGGAGCTGGCAAAAGATTAGTGATCGAGCTGGTTCTGCAACTGAAGAAGAAGCTGAAGAAAGAAAAGTGAAAAAGAAAAAATAGCACCCAGACAAAAAGAAACAAGTGAATTAGTCACTCTGTTGCAAGGAGTATACAAAAGCAACAGAAGAAAGAGAGGAGAAAAGACTTAAAGAAATGAAAGACATGCATAAGGAAAAGATGAGTGCAATGAGCAAATTTTTAGAGATTAATTGGACTATTCCCCACAGAGGTGCAAAAAGTGTTCTTTTATCCAATGGAAGGGAGAACAAAATGTTTGTATTAAAACAAACTACTATGTGTTAAAAATCGTAAAGTTCTGTCCACTCCACCCTTCTGCTGCCAACAAAGAATTAAAATTTCCTAGGAAAATTGTCAAATTGTTAAGTCCAGGGAATTACTGAGTCGTCTTGAACGGCACTGGAAAACAGGGAATTTTATTTTCCTGATGCCACAATAGATTATACCTGAATTTTCTCTAGTTGGCACAAAAATATTTCGAACCCAAATGCTTCTATGCCACAATCGTAACAACTCAATTTTTCGCAGTAGATTGGGTTTACAAACAACAGTAAAACAATCTGTTTTCCTTGTTAACCGTGACATCAGTTTCCCTCTATCTCTGCTTGTCTTTCAAAGAATCTGCTACAGACAGTTGGCTTTGCAAACATTAAAGAGTGACAAAATAATGTTCTCAAGTTGCAACTTGTTGCTTCTGTTGAACACGTCTTGATGTAGTAGTCTCATGATAATGTTTCTTTTGTCACTTCCTCCAGTGCCTGGGGGGAAAATGTCATTGGCATCATCATCATCATCATCACCTTCACCATCCTCTAAAAACCCTTCAATGTCAAGTTCAGCAATGAAAATATTGTGCAGAACACATGCACATATAACAATTTCAGGGATGTCCTCTAACTTGTCTATGTCCGTAAGGGTTTTGAGTTTTCGAAAACGACCCTTATAAAGCCCAATACATCTTTCCACCGCCATTCTTGTTGCACTATGAGCCACATTAAATCTTCTTTGTTGTGGAGTCAAACGGCCATTGTCCCTAAATGGCGTCAAAAGCCATGTTTTGAGGGGATATGCTGCATCTCCCAAGATGTTGGTATTACCAGGGAAAAAAATGCTGGATTTGATGCAACATCATGGCAAACTGGGGAGTTACGGAAAACACGAGCATCGTGTACAGCTCCTGGGTAACCATAAAAAGCATCAGTGATAAATAAATCATGATCGCAGATTACTTGTAACTACACCGAGAAAAAACTCTTCAGGTTTAGATATTGGTCACTGTGGTTTTTGGACCTTTAATGGGTATGTGGGTGCTATCGATGGCATTCAAGACACCTGGGATACCTTTTTTTTCCTTCAAAAGCTCCCATCACCTCTTGAGCACTGGCACCAGTAGGGAACTTGATACACTCGCCTGTTAGATGCGTCACTACGGCTCGGCACACTCTTTTGTACACCTGGTACGCTGTTGATTTGCAAACATCAAATCTGTCCGCCACAGATCGCAGACATTCTGGGTTTTCAAGAACCCAAAGAGTCAATAGGATTTGATTACGCAATTCTACCGGTTCTCTCCCTCGAAGGGTGCTAATAATAATAATAATAATAATAATAATAATAATAACAATAATAACAATACCTTTTTTTCCTTCAAAAGCACAAGAACAAGAGCTTAACAACGGTGATCAAGAAAGGTGTAGCTTTTTAGAGCCAGCAAACAGGATAATGGAAACAATTAGCACCCACCCTGGAGACTATTCCCAACGTGACATTGACACCACGACAAAAGAAACACCATCAACAAAAGACTTGGAAGAAATCAACCAAGCGATTAAGTTATTAATGGAGCGCTACGAGGTAACACCAACGCAGAACCAGTTTGGGTTTCTGTGGTTAGCTAATTGCGCTCTTTACTCGGTGGTTTGCGCGTTTTTGTTGATGAAAGGATGGAAAAAACAGGGGCCAATAATGACAGACAAACCGCAGGACAGAAAGGAAAAGCTTACAAGAATTTACGACCAGGAGGCGGGGATGATCAGAAAACAACTGTCAATCGCGAAAGCGGAAATCGAAAGGTTGAAAGAAAATAGAAAGATCACGAAAAAAGGAAGGAAAAATAGGTCTCACCTCCAAAAAGAATGCAAAACCATCTCTGTGGTAGGTTTGATTAGCTACATGGAGAAAAAAAAAGAGGAGCTCCGAAAGTTAAAACGTGGGCTTGACAGGAAAAAGAACCAAGAGGTTCCGCGTGTTATTAACCAACAGTTTAACACGGTCCCTGGAAGAGTGTTTCCGAATTTGAGTGAGATGTTGAAGAGGGACCCAGAGAATGAGCGGCCAAGATATAAAGATCCTGGAAAACGTGGTCGAGATGATTTGCGAATGTTTGAAAACATTGAAGAGGCGAGCGGGTTTTGTGCGCCAGGGCCTGATAAAATCACCAACTTTTGGTGGAAACGTGCTAGCACCCTGCACGAGGGTGTGGTCGAGAGCTTCAAAGAAGTTTCTAAGAGCGACGAAGATTACCCCAAGTGGTTTTCTGAAGGGAAAACCTTCCTCATTCCCAAAAAAGGGGAGTTCCTGGGTGAAAATCAAAGACCTATTACTTGTCTGAATAACATGTACAAGTGGTGTACATCTTGCCTCCTGGCACCCATGGATTTTATGGCCACACCTTGAACATTATGGCCTGATGGAAGGCCAGCAAAGAGGAGCGAAATCAGGGGGTTTCGGTACGATGGATAACTTGCTAATCGATAGAGCAGTAATGCTGGATTGCCACAGAGGAAAACGGAATTTAAGCATGGCATGGATTGACGTGCGCAAAGCCTATGACTCCGTCGACCATGATTGGCTATGCGCAATGACTGACGTACACAGATTTCCCGTCTGGCTGGGTGAGGTTATACGCAAGTTGTGTGCGAACTGGAATACTAGAGTAGTAGCTACAACAAGGCAAGGGCGAGAGACTTCTAGAAAAATAAGGTTCATGAAGAGACTACCCCAGGGAGACGCTTTGTGTCCTAGATTGTTTACAGTGTGCCTGAACCCAGTAGCGTGGCGCCTGCGGGCAACAGAGAGATACCGGTTATCCAAGCCTATAGGAGTCAAAGTCACCGATCTCCTGTATATCGACGACCTGAAGGTTTTTGCTACCTCCGAGAGCAAGCTGCACCGAGTGCTGAACGAGACTAGAGGAGCGATGCAGGACATTGGCCTCCACTGGAATCAGAAAAAGTGCTCAGTGGTACACGTGAAGAGGGGAGCCCAAGTGCTAGACGAGTCTGGTATGAGGATGGACGAGACAACTAATATCACGGCTCTTGGGGAAGGAAAACACTACAAATTCCTGGGGGTGCTAGAGAACGTTCGACAGGATGAACGGCTGACCCTAGTGTGTGCGGCTAAAGAGTATCTACGCAGGATATCTATTATATGGTCCAGGCCCCTGTCGGATTGTAACCGTGTACAGGCAACTAATCAGTATGCAATCCCGGTCCTGCGGTACTTAATGTGGAGACAGCATTGGCCTCGATCAGAGTTAAGAGATGTGGACAGAGCAGCTCGGAAGATCATAGTTGAGAACGGTGGCAAGCCCCCAGCTAGCCTAACTTCTTTGTTATATGTACCGAGGGAGAAAGGGGGTGGAGGCCTGCGATCAGTCGAACACGAGTACAAGATCACTAAAATCAAATCGCTACTGAAATTGTATCAGAACTCGGACCAGACTGTGGAAGCAGTTAGAGAATTTGAAGAACACGCCATGGCATCAGCCCACCAGTCGCTTGTAAAGGAAGCTGCTAAGTACGCTGAAGAACTCAACATCACACTTCAGCTTGATACCCTACATCCCGTGTGTGTTACAACAGAAGGAGAGGTGGTGACTGCAGAAAGAGCTGGGAATCTGTTGAAGCAATCTCAAGAGAAGCAGTTCTTGGAGATCGCTAAAGACAAAAAGTGGCAAGGAAAGTTATTCCGTATTAGATGGGAAGATGAGAGCCTAAGCATAACCAGCTGCTTTGCATGGTTAAAAGGTTGGGCTACATGCCCTACATATACCATCGCGGGCATGTATGAACTGTATGAGCAGTTGTTACCAACGAAGCTCTACACAAAAGAGAAGACGCAAACCTCCACCGTCGGCGAAGTCCTATGCAGGTTATGTGGGAAGGTAGCTGAGAGCGTTGCACATGTATTGGCATGGATGGATGTTCCTCCCTGGCACAAACCAAGTACCTATACAGGCATAATGCAGCTTTGAAGATTCTGCTTTTTGAGCTCCTGCGAGAGCATGGGTTAATAGAAGAGGTTCCACCATGATACTCACCGGTGATGCCAAAACCAGCCTACCAGAACGCCACTAGTGAGGCGTTTTGGGATATTCCCATTTATGCAGAGCACAACGAAGTTAGAGCAAATCGGATCGACGCGCGACTTGTCAGCCACGAGAGGAAAGAAGTCTGCACAATTGAAATGAGCTGCCCATGAATTGAGAGTAGAGCTCAGAAAGATGAGGAAAAGATACTCAAGTATGGGCCCATGATGTGGGAGCTGAAGCAGAGATACAATGGTTACAGGGTTGAACAGTACAACGAAATAATTGACGTACTGGGTGGTTACTCTAAACACCTAGAGGAGTCGGTGAGGAAGCTACTTGGAGCGAGAGCACGGAGCGTACTTGAGCGGATGCAGAAGTCGGTCATCTCAAACACTTTAAACATTGCCAGAACATTTAAGATAAATACTTAGTTAGGGCGCTAAGGACTCCAGATTTTAGGTTTTTTTTTCTAGAAATCTAGAAACACAAGTTTGCTGATGTTTTTACTTAGATTTTTTAGAGTATTAGAGTTTGATATTATTCGAAATAAGCTTTTAGTAGAGATAACCACATTATGATGACCTCGTTTAGGTATATTAGATATAATGAGAGTATAAAAACTGAATAATTTTCTAAATAGGCTTCTAGTAGAGACAATTATATCATCATGTCTGTGCGTAGGTTTTACAGAGTATAAGAATTTAATAATATTCTAAATTGGTTTTTTAAGTAGAGAGATTCGTATCATTATGTATCTTAGGATCGTATTAGGTTTCGTACCGACGTTTTTTTACTTCTAAGTGTAGCTTCTCAAGTGGTGTAGGTTACGCTATGCGCCCCATACTACTCATGATGTAAACAGCATTCCAAAGTTTTATACGGCGACATAATAATAATAATAATAATAATAATAATGATAATCAATCTTTATTCCTCCTACGATAAAAAGATATATCTTAAGTTACATCAGCAGTTAGGAGTCTAAAAATACATAAGACATACTGTATACAAATAATAGAAAGATAAAAATACATAAGACATACTACATACAAATAATAGAAAGACCAAAGATTATATTTAAAAATAAGCCTATTTACAAAAACATTCTTAAATCTGTCAGTCTTTATATCCGGGCGATGAGCACTTTGGTTTCTGAGTTGGTACTTTGTTTCTTTCTTCTTCGGAATGATGTTACTAAGCGGGCAATCGATCCACTGGACCTACCTTGAAAATCTTCTTATCTGCCTTTTCTAAAAGTTATCGAATGTCCATTCTCTTAAATGTGTATTTCCTTTTAAAGCTTCTATCCAGAAAGTTTCGTATGACCGTGAGATCTGAGTCTACAGCGCCATAAACAAGCAGACCATAAGTGAAATTCGGTGCTGAATCGTAGTAGGTCATCGTGCTTAGAAAGCAAGTTCTCGAGAACTGTCACAGTATGCCTTGACATTCGAAAATGACTTCTGAAGTCATCGATCGATTAGTTTGGGATCGTGCTCTCATAATAGAATCTGATACGCACATGTTCTTTCCTCTTCAAAACTTTCTGCATTACAGAGCAAAAGAGCTTCGTCGTTAATGGCGGCTGGGAAAGCGCTTGCGGCAGATTTTCATCGAAGAATTCTTCCAAACAAACCAGCTTAACGCCATGTTCATTTACGCAATGTCTGCTGATGTCCCAGGTCACCTTCCTGCGCCTCTGTTCCCTCGCGTTGTCATGGCAAATGACCCGTTTTGGGATCTTCCGCTTTGTTAGTGGTGAAGAATCCATATGGTCCGAGATCACAAATCCGTTTTCGGCTTCTCCCAAAAACACGCACCCTGAGTTAGCATATGTGTAGTTCTACGTTGTCACTAAAGTTCTTCGTATATTCTAAGTTAGATATATATAGTGCACACAGCAAAAATAGAGATCAGAGAGTGCGTCAAGTGGTCGCTTACAAGAGGTTAAAACAAATTGCTTGTCAAATTCATTAAACGTCAGGCCCAAAAAGTGGTCGCGGTCGCTTACGTAGAGGAGGTGGTCGTTTACTAGAGGTTCCGGCTGTAAGGCTTTGTCTGGGAAAATTTGGTGTTTTGGATTGGCGGTCGTTAATGAAAGATGGTCACTTACGAGCGGTGGTCGCACATGGAGGTTCGACTGTCACAGATTGCTTCCAGGACATTGTAATCTTTGCAAGTGTTGTGGTTTTTCATAGTTGTAAAGATATCTAAAGCTAAGGCAGAGTTGGCAAAGACTCTATAATTGTGGCCTTTGTGTTAGTAGCTTTCTTAGCCTGGGTCACCAGCTCGGCCTTCTCCCTTGAGTGTGTGTACGTGAATTTTAAAACAGGTCAGTTATATCGTTTCAAATTGATTTAAATTTTGAATTAAATGTTTTCTAAAGTAGCCTCAGTAGATAATTAGTAATTGCTTCTTACAGGTCGTCTGTAGCATGCGTTTAATTTGGGCGTTGTACTAAGTAGAGGGTCAGTTGAAATATGCTGGTCACTCAAGGGCGCAGTTCGGAATCTCTCTTTGACAGTTGACAAAATAAGTCTTTTTTAAGAGTTAAGCTGACTTGTGAAGAAGACGTTTTACCTTCAATCTGACTCGCTGGAGAATTGCTTGTCTCTCGCAGTCACAACTTGCCTTGTGTTTCCAGCTTGTACGACTGCTGCTTTCTGTACAGCGGCTACTAAATTGACCTTGATATAATCACCAGGAAACAAAGACGAAGAGATTAAAAATAGTGCTACGGTTGCTGACACTAGCGTAGCGAGATCAGGAACTATTCAAGTTCAAGAAAAGGGAGACCATATCTTTACCTTCAAGTTTTGATTCCACATTTGAACAGTTTCTATAAACAACGGTTCCGACCGAAGTTCTGTTCCATTTTAAGTTAAACTTCGTTTGAGATGGGCAAAAATCTGTCAGGCAGAAAGAGAAAAGGAATTTCAGATCAATTCCATAGCTTTTATCTCCAAGATCAAGACTACGCCGGAAAAACGATTGGAAGGAGGGCATACTCATAAGGCTGGTTCTGTGCGAGGCATCAGGCTTTTATTGCGCTTGTTTCCAGTTTATTTATTGAAATATAATAATTGGTTTTTATTTTTTCCTTCCGTTTGTTAGAAAAGGGGAATCGCACAGGATCTCCTGATAAATTAGCCCCCCTCCTCCCCCGTAGACGTTCTTAGGGGTTCGTCACGCGTTCCTGCCCTAAGAACTTCTGCGGTGGGAGGCTACTGATGAATATACGACTTCCAGTTTGGTACTACCTGACGGGTCACTAAAATAGACCGACGGATACCAAATCGAAAGGAGGATTATTTTTTTCAGATAATCGAGGTTCGATTCGAAGCAACTACTGTAGGTGATTTCCCTAGGTTAGATTTAAAATCACATAAAGAATATTAAAATCAAATGCAGGATATCAACTAATATTCGACCAACCGTTAAACTTATCATGAATACCGAGATTACTTCAGTTCGAGAGATCAGAAAATAACGAGCCTATTCTCACGGTTTACTTACAATGGATACAGTCCTTTTCATCTGACTTGTCATTACATTCGTCTATTTTATTACACCTTTCATTTAGGGGCCTTATTTCATCCCCACTATCACAGAGGAACAACTCTTCAGAAATGTGCGATACATCTTGTATTCCTGGAACGGTAAAAACATATTTTTCAAAGGGTCATTTCCACTTTCTCCCTCCCACGTTCATGACGTGCATGATGTCGGTAGTGCTTGGCAGGCGTTCGAAAGGGAAGGCCGAAAAAGGGATTTTAGGCATGAGGGAAGCGCGAGGGGCGCAAGAGGAAGCAGGGCCATCGAAAATACATCTTGGTCTTAATTTTAACGTGCGATTTTGATGTTCAGTGACGGGCTCTCAGGCTCTGTTTTGCTTATAAAAATCTCATCGTAGTTTAATGCAACGGTTTGCCGGTAAGAGCACGTAAACAAGGTACAAACCTTTGAAAGCGCCAGTGCAGTTGATCTTATCGGCTTCTAAGTAGCACCCAGGCCTCACTCTTTCTCCCGAGAAACAGAAGAAGTCGACGTCATTAACACTCCAGCGATGACCATCAAATAATACCTGATTCTTCCATCTGCAAGCTTCAAAGATAAGACGTAAAGAGAGATGAAGTCTAATACAAAAGAGACAAATTTAGGTGGTCACATCTTTAACCCTCCGACGTATAAGCAAATTCATACCCTTACCATGGTACAAGGGAGGTGGGGGGGAGGGTGGATGGAACCCCTCCCCGGAGTTTTCGATATGTTGCAGTATTTTGAAACGATTTTACCTTTAGTGGAAAGCCTTTGATCTTCTTAACAAGATGAGGTATATTTTATGGGTGGTGGCGCTGTGGGAGGCCTGTGACGTCACTAACAATGGTCGCCATCTTGGCCACCATCTTGGATTTTACCAAGAATTGGAAATCAGGTTAAAACCGCGAGAAATGGTAATTTTTTGTGCTTTACATGAAAAATAACAAATATATAAACACTGCATGATTTTAGCCATACGATGGCCCAGGAGGGTCACAGTCCAGTATTGGTTTTTGACAGTCCAGTTATGGTTTTACACAGTCTAGTTTTAGTTTTTACACAGTCCAGTTTTAATTTTTACACAGTCCAGTTTCAATTTTTACACAGTCCAGTTTTATTTTTTTACACAGTCCAGTTTTATTTTTACACAGTCCAGTTTTAGTTTTTACACAGTCCAGTTTTATTTTTTGTGTGGTTACCAGACCTCTCTCGCGCTACTGCAACACTTGTTATCTTAAGGCAGCCATTTTGTATTTCCTTGCGACGATGGATTCAATCATCAGGCAGGCTGTTCGAGAGGAACTGAGACGTTCAAGTTCTAGTAGTCCAGAAACTGCGTCTTCTACTAATCAAGATGATCAAGGAAGAAGTGAAAACGAATCAGATGCGGCTAGATCATCACGAAGTTCGTTTTCATCACGAACAGTGGGCTGTTTGGGGTGTTTCTAAAACGAAGACCCAAGACCCAAGGGTAATCCCTTATAAGGGCTTAATGGGGACGTGCGGCCAGCCAGGGTATGTTTTTCGGGATTTTTGTCTCAAACAGGGTATCGATTTTATCATTTTTTGTCGTAATCAGGGTATCGATTTTATCAATTTTTGTCTCAAACAGGGTATCTTTTCTTGGACAATAAACAGCCTGCGCGTATGTTCTACGAATGTCTTAAACAGGGTATGAAAATCGGAATTCTGTCTTAAACAGGGTGGGAAAATCAGCGATTTTTGTCTTACACAGGGTCAGGGTATAAGGGGCCGGGCCGCACCTCCACACCCAAAGATATATCGAGTACCCCCTCCCCCCCTCCCGGGCTAAGACCTAACACCCCGTGGAATAACAACGAAGAGCCTCCGGACTAAAACGAAGACCCCTGTGGATTAAACTCTTACGGCGATTTAGGAGTGTTGTGGAATTTCCTCTGCGCTATTTAATTGCAATAATGAAGTCTATCGCCCACCTTTTCTTCGATCGACGGCTAAGAAAATATAACCGCGTGCTCTAGCGTTCTAAAATGTCGAACAATTGTATCGATCAATACATTTACAAAACAAAATAACTGGCGTAGGGAGGAAATAACAACGAGACATTTAGCAACGATGAATTCAAGGAGAGGGGAACCTCGCGCTCTTTTTATTACTTTTTACCTCATCAATAGAGAAAAGCTGTCGATCCAGAACATCACTCGACTAAAGGTGTACATTTCGAGTTTCATGCAAGCAAGGTACCGGGTTATATTGATATCCCTGTTACTTTATTCTGACCTCTATTGTAAAAACTGACTCATCTTTTACGGCTCAAGCAGTCGTTATAATGATAACAAAATAAAAATGAAAGAAAAAAAAAAGGAAAGGAAAAGCAAGATTCGATCCCGAGACACCTTCCGATGTACCCAAGGACGTTACCACCAGACTACGAAAACACATCCAAAGTGTTTAGAGTTTAATCCACAGGGGTCTTCGTTTTAGTCCAAGGGGTCTTAGGTCTTAGGTCTTCGTTTTTGGGTCTTCGTTTTAGAAACATCGGCCCACTGTTCGTGATGATCCAGCCGCATCTGATTCGTTTTCACTTCTTCCCTGATCATCTTGATTAGTAGAAGACGCAGTTTCTGGACGACTAGAACTTGAACGTCTCAGTTCCTCTCGAACAACCTGCCTGATGATTGAATCCATCGTCGCAAGGAAATACAAAATGGCTGCCTTAAGATAACAAGTGTTGCAGTAGCGCGAGAGAGGTCTGGTAACCACACAAAAAATAAAACTGGACTGTGTAAAAATAAAACTAGACTGTGTAAAAAAATAAAACTGGACTGTGTAAAAATTAAAACTGGACTGTGTAAAAATAAAACTGGACTGTGTAAAAAAATAAAACTGGACTGTGTAAAAATTAAAACTGGACTGTGTAAAAATAAAACTAGACTGTGTAAAAAAATAAAACTGGACTGTGTAAAAATTAAAACTGGACTGTGTAAAAATAAAACTGGACTGTGTAAAAAAATAAAACTGGACTGTAAAAATTAAAACTGGACTGTGTAAAAATAAAACTGGACTGTGTAAAAAAATAAAACTGGACTGTGTAAAAACTAGAACTAGACTGTGTAAAAGCTAACTGGACTATGTAAAACCATAACTGGACTGTCAAAAACCAATACTGGACTGTGACCCTCCTGGGCCATCGTATAGCCACAAGATTTACTTTTATTGTTGAAAGAAGTTGAAAAACATGTAATTTCACCCAAAATTGGCTTGACCACCAGCTACTTATGATGTCAGACATATATCGTAACCATAGCAACTGATCATCATTAAACTCGTCTCAAAATCTGCGCGAGGGATGAACGAACAGCTACTGAAAACGTCAGGTGCTAATGTTTTATCCTCTAGGACAAAACTGAGAAAAACCTTATGGGGGGAGGGGGTGGCATCCACCCCTCCCCCCTTGTACGTCCGAGGGTTAATCCTAACAATCACGCTATTAGTATAGGTAATAGCTTGATTTGTAGTGATATTTGGCATAAATACCATGAGTGGTATTTCGAAATTGTTGTACGTAATTTCACGAGCCGTTAGGCGAGTGAAATTTGAGACAATTTTGAAATATCACGAGTGGTATGTATGTCAAATATCACGTACAAATCATGCTATTATTTGTTTATACTACTCCCCATTAAAGGTTTGCAATTTTCACATGTAGGTATTTCAAAATTAAGCTGAAATACAACTGCTCTAAGCCAATGAAATTGAAGAAATTTCTCATGTAGTACTGTAAGCGTCATAACTCAGGCCTTGTCGGAGTTAGAACCAATCATTGCCAACTCGTATGGGAAGAGAATCAACACGGCCATTAACCGTTCAAGGAAAACTTGCTTTGAAAGGGTTACTCAAGGAAATGCGACTAGTGGTTTTCTACAGTTAGCCTCGATTAACAGCGTCAGTAACCGTCAAAGTGATTTCACATTTTTAGCTTTGATGTTAAATGATTGAAATAAAAACATTTTTGCAATAATCAATCACGAGGTACAAAAAAGCTATGCGGATGTACAAACGTCTTTGACAATAAAAGAAACCAGCATTTTTTAATTTATTGACGTATACTTTTTGTTTTCCTTTAATAAAGAGGTCTAGACTGAACTATTCTGATCACTGCGGTACTAAGATTGAAAAATTAACCCTTCACTAAGTCAGTCTTTCTAGAGAACTTCACAGATGAATCTCAATCGTTCTTTAACCAAAATTCTCTGAGTTCAAAAGAGGCTTAGCAATGTACTTGCCTTTGCAAATTCCTCTGTTTGTCTTTACAAATGCCACCACATTACATTTCGGTTGAGTACAGTTTTCGACGAGTCCATCACTAGATGTCAAGAAGGTGACGCGTTGTTCACATGATATGAGTCCATTGTTGCACCTGCATGTGATACAGTCGGGAACAAACCATTGAGCTCCTTCAAAGTACGTGTTGGCGTTCTCATCTTGACACGAGATATCTAAAAGGCAAAAGAACCAAACAAAGTCGATAAAATGTTTGCGTGAAGCGAGGCCCCGAAAAAGTAGATTCTTAGCCATCTATAGACTTCCCCTCTCGCTAAAGCTTCGTCTTATCAATCCATCAATGTCCGATCGAAGCAATGCTCCCAGTCTAACCAATATTTTGCAAATGACGTTTAGCTTAGAAATAACGACTCAAGCTCCTCTGATTGTTAGCTTCAAAATCGGGTGTTAAGCATCATCCACACACTTAAATGAGTTAGGCCACCAAAGATAGACCTATGCCAATCCCTTGCCTGCGTCGCAGATGCTCTAAGCCTTCTGTATAGTGCGTCCGCGAATTAGTGCACAGTATCGTGTTCGAATCCCGCGGAATCGCAAGGACATATGTCGGCGTTTTTGATTGGATAGTTTCTTACGCTGTTTCTGATTAGCCCGATTTGAATTAAGTGTTGACAGGCCAAACATGACTAATAGCTCGTGACAAGAGAGGCTGAGCCCGTGATAGTGTGAAACGAGACCTTAGAGTCCGCTTGAACAACAGAGGTTTTTCTTACTCTCTTTTTGCGTAGTTTATGCAGTGCATGGAGTATTGTACACTTTGACTGAGCAAAATTTTGTTTGGCCGCTTTGAGCCTCACATTTAGAGGTTATGAAGCTGGTCTGTTCCATACATATCGAGTAATTTGTTCCCGTGGTTTATTTTTTTGCAGGCCCGCACAATGTGTGTGTAACCGATTGTTATTTTATAGTAAATGTACGGGATTCACCGTTTGCTTCACCTATAGCGATATATCGCTAAGTTTTTTTTTTTCAGGCGCCCACGGCCAGGACCCGGTAGTGCAATGGTCAAGTACAATGGCCGAGCGACATCACCGATACTTAACAGAGCCAGAGTGCAAGGGCTCTGTTGAGCAACGCCTGAAGGAGGGTACACCAGTACGCCAAAATCGCCCAGGGATCGAACCTGGCCCCCCGGAAACGTTCCCCGCCCAACGGGGCACCTGAGCAGTCGGGCGTGCTAGGACTGCTATAAGGTAACGGGTCCCACAATGCAGCGACTACATATAGCAGCAAACGGCAAATCCCGTACATTTACTATAAAATAACTAGTAATAGTTGACACTACAGCTGCCCCCAGTCTGTATATTGTCGGTCAATTGATCAATAATATTCTTGCTCGTTGTGTAGCTCTTGAAATATACCGATTCATAATGAAGATTTTCACACATATTCAATACAATAGGTGAGATAAATACAGGAAACGCAAGGTTCCATGCACAATTTCAGCTCGATTTACACAGCTTTGATCAAGACATTCTCATTTTCGAGAATAGTTTATTCTAAACCATAAGAAATAGAAATTAGAGGTTGAATTTTTGGCTATTTTTTTTTTCTTTCACTTTTTACATTCAGTTCATTTTATTTGCTGGAAAGTAAGCTTTAGAAATTAAAGGACGTTTGATCGATTCACGTTCGCGCATTCTAGTCTTATTTTAAACTTCATAGCGGCAGGACATCTGTGAGCAGGGAATAAGTCAGCACAGAATTTGATTGTCGGCGAATTTCTGTAATCGTCCATCGTTCTGCTGGTGATAAGCTAGCCGTTGATCCACTCGTCTTGCTTGTTTGGGGCTGAGTCTTATTCCGGTCAAAGAGGGAGAAAGAGTGTCTGGCAAGGTTTCCAATCAGAGATTTGTGAACTCGTGTCTGGCAAACTCTCCAAGTGTTTATAGTATATATTTAACAATTATTCTTTGAAATCGAGGTGAATAGTGGCAAAATATTTACCGAGCCGCGAAAGCGGCGAGGTAAATATTCCCAAAGCCACTATTCACCGAGATTGAGAAGAATAATGGTTTTAGTATATACACACGAAGTGATCTCAACAAAATCAGAAAGGAAACCATTCAAAAGTAGGATTTGATTGACAGATCAAACACGCGTAAGTTTTAAAATAGATCTTTGCAGAATTTTCAAACATGGCAATTCACAAGTTTACTCATTTCGCAAACAACAGCGTAATGGCTTCAATGGAATCGCTAAAAGTTTGAACTGTTTCCTTACCTGAGAAAAAAAGTAGAGCTGTGTTGTTTTCTGTTGACTCGCCAAGTTTATAGCCAAAAGGGCATGTTGTGTCGTTCTTCGCATGAAGTGCTGACAAAAATGGCGGCTCGGTTGCTCGAGGTAAGAGGTCGTCTTCCTGTATCATTCTTTTTCCTGTTTACTTGAAATGTAGAATTTCTGCAAACATTTCCTTTTAAATTTGTTTGTCATAAATAAACTTCGATTTTTGAGCCAAAATTTTCTTCTTAGAAAACGCTGAGTTCACGAAACGGCTTCTTCTACGCGAATACACGGGAGTTGTAAACAATCCATCGAGCACAAAACTCCTGCTACAGTAAATTGAAAAACGCCGTATTGAATCCTTCCAAGTCTTTTCTTGCCTTAAAAAAAGTCAGCCCTAGGATTTTGTCGACTTTTAAAAGATCGTTCTCTAAAAAAAACGGGAAAAACACCGAGCTCACACATTATCCACTCGCTAGGAGGTGAATATTGTTGAATAGTCCGAGATAGCGAACCAATCAGATTGCTTAAATCACCAAGATCACTGAGTGTGTATATACTAAACACAGTTATACGCACCTTATAACTTCATCTGCGCATAACGAGTGTCTTTTTGTCCGTAACTTTCAAAACAACTGCTCCACAGAATGTCACTGATAACACATAACGCAAAAGGGTATCGAAGTATGACTGTAAAATAAATGTCACAAAATCTACCTATCGCAAGCGGTCCCTTCGGGATTTTCTGTCTTTACGTCATCCTAACCATCTCGTACTTGCGGGCGCGAACAATAGAAACGTCACCATTACCTACCGATGCTGTGTGTCTAAACAATCAACATACTTGTTTTGCAGAAATCGTGACCCAGAAGACAGTTTGGTTCGGGAGTAACACATGTACTGCCAGATACCACGGCTTGAAGGCCTCCGGGACACAACTGTGGCATCCCTCTCATCTGACTGGTAAGTTCAGCAAGCGCTACAAGAGAATAAAAAATTCAAGATTGAATTACTTGTGGCTTGAACCAAGCCTTATTAGAAAAGGTCTGCATGCAAGTGCTATTTTTATTTTATTTATTTCCTGGTTTTTTTTTTTGCATTTATCATTTTTTCAGAATTGAGCCTTGGCAAGGAAAGTTTGGTCAAAACAAATTGAAACATCTAAAGTGTATAGCAGTATAGTATCATGAAAGTAGGAATGGCGCGCGTTACCTGGACATTTCTGAGCACAGCATATGGCTCCATCGTACATATCACACGTTGGCCCCAGCATTTCTGGACATCTCCGTCTGTCGCTCCGCAGTTCCCTGAATGTAAACTTGCAGTCTTGGTATTCCCAGGTTTTATCTCTAAGAATAATACGCCCTCCCTCGGTGGTTTCAATTCCTGACGAAATCATGCATTCATGATCATTACTAATGTTGCTTAGTAATTACGCTCAAATAAACAAGGAATAGCTTAAACACGAATTCTATAAAAAAAAAAAGACCTGCGTGAATTTAACTGATTTGGCGTGTGAAAGTTAAATAAAGCTAATTCTTTTAGTGTTTTTTTTTTCTTTAAAAAGGGGGGTTCTTCGATGCATCTAATGACCGCATTAAGTTAGTTACACTCTTTTTTTTCCTATAAGAATACATTTTATAAAAATATCGAGACTGAAATTTGCAAATTTTAAGAATATGTTAAGAATAAAGTCGAGGCTGAGATTTCGGAAACGATGATTATTTTGAGAAATATGCAAAATACGTTTTTAATTTTACCGTATCAAATTACTGCTTCCACTCATTACCCAATAAAACGAAGAAACCTGCATTAGTTTAATAGCTAAATGTTCAGTGCTAATGACAGTTCGATGAACGGTAAATGAAATACATATCTGTAGTATACAGCGAAAAAAAATGAACAAACCGCAAAAAGTATATGATAAATTCTTTCTTTTTCAATTATAATTCAAGAATAGAATACAAGAATATTTTCAGGCTGCAATCGGCAGAAAAATAAGAATATTCAGTCTGGCCCGAAAAAACAACATTCTAAAATAATAATAATAAAAAAAGAGTGTAATAAGTTAACGTCCACAAATTGTTTTAACAACTCAGTTTGATAGAAAAACGCAATTTTAATAACTGCATTGATTTATTCTGGACTATAATAATACCGCCACGTTTTCGGAGATAGATGGGTGAATGAGCAAACGAACGTACGAAGGAACGGACAAACGAATGAACAGAATTTAAGGAAGGACAGATGGACAGACGGACCGATGGATTGATGGATGGATCAGGATGAATAAATAAATGAGTGAAGGAATCGAGGAAAAAATAATTACGAAAAGTGAACGATCGAACGAATCAGTGCTAAATTAAAGACGTCAGACGAACTGTACCTTCGCACGTATGTTTTCTTTCTCTAATAAAGTCCACTGTGTTACAAGAAGGCTGTTCACATTTTTCAGTCAGCGGTGCATACCCATACATGCCTGGGAAAACCACCTTTAGTAGTCTTTTACACTTCAGTAACCCAGCTTCACATCTACACTCAATGCATTCAGTAACCTAAAGCGGAGTAAATTATTCATTAAATTTATCTCTTAAGTCAGGTCCGACTGTAAGTATAACAACATTTCAATTTTTGCAATGATTATAGACTGGAAACAAGACGCTACCGAGCGTACACTTCGGCGTCGTGGTTGTGCAACTGATTAATAGTAAATGCGAAGGAACAGTAAGAAATGAAATATGGTAAGAGTAAGGTGTTAGTTTTTGAAATTATGGGATTTGTCAGGATATTCTGAAAAGAGCAACATCCAAGAGGCCTACTTGCCAAAAACTAGCAACAAATTGTCTCTGAGATATTAGCCCAGTTATGCTCTGATGACTCCATACAAATCCTTCTAAATTTGAATTGGGTCTAAACGTTTAGACCTAAGTCAAATATGAGGTTACTGGCGGTGAATAAAAAGTCTAGCAAAACAAAAAAAAACTTAGTCACATCAGGCTTCAAAAACAGCATAGCAGTCTCATGTACTGATTAAAGATATGTAAGGCATGGGTAAGGAGTCAATTACGTTGAGCTTGGAATTGGCTGTTAGGAGTTCGAATGTTTTGAGGATAATTATTCACTGACTATCAGCACGCAGGAATGACGGATTAACAAAAGGAAGTCTAATACCAAAGGAACATAGCTTTTTCAGAGCTTTAAAACACTGCATCCCCCAACACAAACTTGACTTGAACTTAAGTACAACTAAACAGCCTCCACCAACAATAACAAACTCTCACTTGAACTTCAGATATCTTACGGCTTCCGCCAACTTCTAAACACAGAACTTGAAAATCGACCTTCGTTACACTTGACTAAGCACAGCAGTCCAGCTCGTGGGAAAAAACTTAGTTCGTCAAAAGACCTCGCTTGGAACTTGTATACCGTTTGACAGAAGGTTCTAGAAAATACTAAACGGGCGAATAGTAGTAGCTTTTCGACATATTTTATGATGTCAGTAACTGATGCAAATCTGCTGACTTATGCTGAAATGTAAACATGCCCTAATTAATTATTCATGAATAATCCAAAAAAGTAGAGAACTCGAGAAAGTCACGCAACGCATGAAAGCAATTTTACTACGTAACACTCAACAAAGACAAAAGGGCGCTTTCCATTTAGTCAAAATTTCCCGAATTTCTGGTTCGGCGGTAAATGGAACACGTTTCGTCGGCTCGTCCCACTGGAAAATTCCCAGAAAAAGTGGAAAATCTAAAAAGGTGGGTCCGTTTTCCCGGTTGGAATTTCCGAACGGAATGTCGTGTTCCATTTACGTTTCTCGTAGTTTGTACCAGTTCCAGGTCCACGGTCGGGCACCGCGACGTACCGGGGTTTAAGACGAAATGGAACAACTTTTTACCCATCGGAAATTCCACTTTTGCTCCCAGCGAAATTTCCGGGTTTTTTCCTAAATGGAAAGCGCCCAAAATGTCTTTGTGCAACATTTTGTAACTTTAAATTCATCATAAAGCAGTTCGAATGGAGGCCTCACTCGTGAAATGTTTTTCAACACTCGAAGAGAAATTTCGTGTCTCTGCGCGGCCACGTAATATCCTCTATTTATTCCTCGAGTAAATTAAAGACTTAACTGGAAGTGATCTCAAGATATCACAAAGTAGTCCGGTTTCATCTCGTGAAATAGCCGAAACAAGCCGAACTTGCACGCCCAATCTTGTCCCGAAACTAGTGCAGGATTTCATAACTATTTTTCATATCCCGAACTACCTTGGGTCGCAGTAGCGCAATCGGCTAATCCCTCAACTTAGAGTCTCCTCTGATCAGACCGGTCACACAGGCGAGTCGGTTCAAACCCCGGGGAAGCCAAAATAATAATCCTTTCTTCCTCGAAAAAGTTAAAGAATAAATCAAAAAAATCGAAGTGATCTCGAGATATCTCGAACTAATTCGGCTCTCACTTCGTCAAATAGCCGAATAAAACCGAAAACCTACGGACTTTGCGTGCCCAATCTTGTCAAAAAATTGTAACTTTCATACATTCCTGAGCGTCGCGAATCCTTTACTTCGCGCTCCGCCGAAGTAAACAGTCGCGCGTCCTTGACTAAGCAAAACTACGGACTTTTTTGTACATAGTCTACACTGATAAATAGTTGCACCAAACATTTGGGACAACATGAAATTTCACAGACCAAATCATCATCCAGTCCAGGGCAGTCAAAGAGAAACAATTTTGAACCATATTTTTTTGTTTAACCACATGGCAACTATAATTTATTAATCCTTAAAAAAGAATTTTACCTTCCAAACTTCTTTGAGAATCAAAACCTGCCCTTGCTCATCTCCACAGATAACTGAGAAAATGGAAAGATTTATAAGAAACAAACATAACCAAAAATTTGGTATAATGCTTAACTGTCTGGCAAATAGTACTCATGCAAATTTCACCACCAAGCTTTGTTTCAACAATTTTCATTCGCAAAGTTTTACATAAACGAATTAAATTCGCACGATAGTTATTTTTAAAAGAATACTCATGTACAAAGAGTGCGAATCCAAAGAATTTTGTTCCCAAAGGAGGCTTGGTGGTGCCCTAAAAACACGCACAGAGGCCATTATATTCCATCTTTTATCCAGCAGGTCAGGGCAATTGGCTCCTGTCCAGATGCAACCTGCGCTTCCTAATATTTTCGGGACTGTTAGAATTCCAGGTACCGAAATACTCACCATCATGGCAATTTGCCTCATCAGACCCATCTAAACACTCGGCGTTTCCATTACAAACATGTTCTTTCCTTATAAAGGCGTCGTTTGAGCAGTGAAATAATTCATTTGAATTCTTAAGCTGAAAAAAGACTAGAGACAAAAGACAAGTTAGATGGTAAAGTTTAATGTTTAGTGTAGTTTACTGACTTTCTCTTTTTCTCTTTTTTTTTATCCTGGAGTAGTTTGGAAATTTTTCAGCCATAGCTTTCGTTCTACTTGCATCCGTCGTTTATCGTGTAAACGGCTGGACCATCAACATACACAAGAGTTAATGTTACGTTTTTTGAGAAACTTTGTATTTCTGTATGTATGTCACATAATGGAAGTTAAAGAGCAACGATAGAAGAAGTAAATCTAAATGCACATTTAATTCTATTCATTGCCAATGAAACAAACCTTTGCAATTGCTAACAGTTCCCGGTCCAGAGGGCCTAATATCAACATTAGGCCGAAGACATGGCAAACAACTTCCAGCTGTTGTCATCCGGAACGAGCCATATTCAACAGTGACATCATACTTTACGCAGCTGATGACACCATCCGTGCACGAGCAGTTAAAGCAAGGTCCTGGGAACCAATTAGTGCCATGCTCCCTGACAAGACCATTTTCATCAGTGCAAGCCGGTCGAGAAAGATTGGTGCAGTGAATTTGTTCGTCAGTACAGGCGCATTTAGTGAGGCTGCTGCTAAGCCATTCTTGCCCGTTCGCAAAGGCATTGCCAAGGCTATCCCAGCAACCACTTTGAGTTTTTTTACACTCGACTTTAAAGCCAGGCAAACATTTGCAGTTAATGAGAGGGTTTGGGCTCCACTTCTCATGAACTTCGTAAACATTACCATGTTTGTCTTTACAACCTGAAAACAAACATTATGAGTTAGCCAGTTTTGCGTGCACATCGGGAGGGCAACCTTTAACAAGCTTCTCGATCAATTTTTCAAGAGAAGATTGCAAGAATCCAAATTTGATGACATCAGTGTCTTATTGTTAGGAGGATGAAAGGGCACGAAAAAAAGGCAAGCGTTTTCAAACTGTGTCGGGAACACCTGTGAAATCACTTAAATGTATGTGTGTAACCACCGGAGCTTCGAACGACCAAAATGAATTATGAGCATTAGACAAGAAATGGTGGCTTCCCAAGAATTCAAGAATGTTAAAATTGAAACCACAAACTCAAATACTTTCTTATCAGATTTTAATGCTCATTGGACTAAATTCTGACGTCTGTTGCATGGGATTGGTCAAATAATCACGTAAAGTTTGCTTTTACGCTCTGTTTACCTGTTTTTCCAACTCCACAGTATCGCAAACTGCAAAACGGCTGAGATGCAGGAAATTCACCAAAGTTGTACACGATGAAATCACTACAATTCCTGACTCTAACTTCGCTGTACCAGAAGCAGCAGTCATCATTGTTCGTAAAGCAAACCATACGTTCCACTACCCCTTCTTCCACAGTAGGATGTTTGCCGTTTAGCCAACCAGGAGAGAGTGTGCCGCAGTGCAGTTTAGGAACACAGTGCGTTGGCATGACAGCCCCTGCTGCACCGGTAAATCTGTACCATGTTCGTGGTAGATTAGCGTCACACTTCATTGTGTTGTAACTGAAGTAGTTCGCGGCTCTATCGCGTCCTTCTAGGGACTGGTAGCTAGAACATTCATCACTGCTATTTCCTGAAAGTAAAACGTAGTTAAAGCATTTTTACTTGATTATTGTACGATAGCTTAAGCTAACCATCATGGCGTGCTTTCGGCTAAAAAATATAGATTGGACCTTTAAAATCCAGATTTCGAATGTCAAGGATTTCGTGTTTAAAATGATTGAATAAAATCCACTGCCAAATCCGTCTGTCCTGGAGTTAAAGAATCTGAATCTGGATGTCGTAATCCAAAGCAGTCTATATGATTACACGAGGAAAACAGATTTTGTTGAAGAGAATTATTATAGAAAGAAAACATTCACTGTGAGTCGACCTTTTCAGTACCTAAAGATTTGTTGATGGCCTTTTCAACACTGGATAAAACTCCTACAAGCAAACAAAATTATGCTGAAAATTAGTAAACAGTCTTGAAAGCCAGTTTATCTTATCAGGCTAGGAAGTAGTTAAAATTTTTCCTATATCTTTGCTTCAAAACTCCAATCTTTGCCCCTATATTCTTGCCAAGATGAAAAACTCTACCGAAACTTGATTCTTTTAATTTATAGCCTTGAATTCTTTTGCTCATCAAATTCTTACGCAAACTGAGTTTAATTTTTCGATCGATCGGTTTAAAGCTTGAAGTAAGTCGATTACGTTGCTATTGTTTCTGAAAGTTTTGAATCGCCAAACTACGCCAGTTATTAAAGTTATTTAGCACATGTTTTCGCGTGTTCATGGTGACAAATAACTTAGATTTTCGAAGGATGTTAAAAACTCTTTAATCTAAAAAGAAGATGTACATTAGTCCAAACAGTATTTGCAGTACCTTCGATCCCAGCTCCACACAAGCGAAAACTGACGGAGAGTGAAGGCATTGAATCCAGCTTGTACACATAGAAAGAGCTGCAGTTTCTTACACGCATGCTCAAAGAATACATGCAGCATTGCTGCTTTTGAGAAAAGCAAGCAGACCGTCTGACCACACCCTCGACGACACTTGGATGTCTTCCCAGCATCCACCCTGGTACTGAGGTACCACAATGATTGGATGCAACACATGAGGTTGCAATGAGGTCTCCGGCTGATCCGTTAAATGCAAACCAGCTTTTTAGATAAAGGTCGCTGTCTGTAGTTAGGTTGTTGGAGAAAAATCTTGATCTACTCATGCCGCTCAGAGTTGTGAAGTTTACGCACTCGCTGTCTGTGGAGGCAAAAAAATGGGTCATCTAGCAGCTGCTCTGAAGGGAAATGTGACCCCAAACAATACTGAAACAATTGAAAGAATGACATGTGTCATTGTTTTCTGCGACCAATCAGAAGAGACCTTACGAGCACTTCCTACACGACTGAAAAAACTCACCATGCGGGTCATGTTCATAACAGTCTCATAGATAGAAGGCACTGAATCGAACAGATGAAGATACGTCGCGAGTTCCTTAAAATAAACTTAGCAGTTATTTTTCGACATCAGTAGCTTGGTACGATTTTCAGTCCCAAAAGAAATCAACAACATGGCCCAGTGGAAATATTTGGGGGCTAAAAAGTGTATTGCTGGAATATCCAAAAAGCGATCAGGTTTTTCTCTGTCAAACGCTCCAGAGGGTCCAATATTGTCAATATTTGACCAACACAATATCATAGAATCTTTCCGTCCGCATCCCTATATCTTTATCAGTTTGTCAGTGTGACCAGTATATTTCTTTTATTCCAGTAATCCCCTGTTGAACCTAGCTATGTTTTGCTATCCTACCTTATGATAAGTCAAACATGAATATCTTACTATACCTGCAATAATACTGCCGGTAATGATTTCTGAGGAAGTAAACATGACAAAAGCCAACAGCGCCCTCGTTTGCTGTGACATGATCGTCAGATCACTTTGCCTGTTTCAAGAAAAATAAAATGTTTCTATTATAACTTTCAATGTACGTTTTATATGAAATATGGTGCTGTTGGTGATACTTGACGCCATTCAAAATGAAACCAATTTTACATTGTTTAGAATTGTGAATATGGTTAACCAGCGATCAGGCGATCCTCCATCCCTTTTTGTTTTGGAGACGAGGGGAAAAAGGACGCCTGATACTTCTTTCTTTTTCCCTTTCGCTTAAAAAAAACGCCTGATCGCAGGCGAGAAAATAGTGGGGAAAATAGACCGCGGTTTTTTTTCTTTTCCGCCTGAGGGTTTTGAAAGAACACTTGTTTGTGTTCGAAATACTCTAAAGTTGAAAAGTCATATCATTCTTATAAGACTCTTAATTTTAATACTAACCCTAGTTGCCAAAAGGCGTCTTCTAAGACTTCGATGAGCAGCTATAGAAGAGGCTCATTTGGGTGAGGGGTGGGGAAAGAATCCACTTCCCTGCCCATATATATGTACTTCAACGCACAAGAGTCTTGTGTAGATAATGTCAAGAACGCATCATGCAAAATTTTCGTGTACATGCTTCCATAAAATAAATGCAATGGCAAAAATGAAGTTCTTTTGAATCCACCTTAATTAATCTACCAACCCTTACCTTTTTTTAATTCAGCAACACTCCGTCTCAATGCACTTAACAATATAGGACAAATTTAAAAATTTGTATTTTCAGCAAAATGAAATGTACTTTGCGGTGCAGAAGACAAGACGATTTGGAAAACTCATCATGCTGCGAAATAATAACTAAAAGGCTTGTTGCCCATGTAACCGCTCAGGGCCACAGAAAAATATATATATTTCCCGAGACAAATCATCATTAAACTTCAATGTACTTACAATTTTCACTGGATGTTAACTCCGAAGGAAAATACCAAAGACAACCTTCCAACATTTAATGTTAGCTGAAAATTTCGTACAACTTCGACAGGCTGTTCAAAACAGGTGCGGTGGTGAACCGATTCTTCCAAATACTGTATTCTGTTGCGAAATGATTATTCCCCAGTTCTAATTAGTTTAATACAGCAAAGTTTCCTGTGGCCGATGTGAAATTCTTAATTTAGATTTTTCCTTCTTTTCTCAGAACTACAGCTAGCGAAAATTAAGAATTTGTTAAGGCTTAGCGTGCGTGTATCGAGTTATGGATGCACGAGGGAACTTTGGTGAGCACGAAAGACTGCGTAAGAGTTGCGCCTTGAGCAACTTTAGCTTCTTGAGTGCTCTCCAAACTTCCCGAGTGCATCCATAACTCGATATACGCACAGCTAAGAACATGAGCAAATTCTTTTATAATATAGCCCGACAAAAATGCTTGCTTTTTGATTCACTGCAAAATTGTCATAACGCGCGACACAGAAAAACAAGCGCTTCTATTGGCTGGGTACAAACACGCCACAATCGTCTAGTTTGAAAGAAAATTCTTTCTGTAAAACTGAGAGAGAAAATTTGCTTATTCATTCGTTAAAGATCAATGAAAACTAAGCAGAAACTAAGGTAAAAGAGTCTTAAAGTCCACTGTAAGTTAAAATACTCACATGTTCGTAAGAAGTCTTGGAGTATGGTTTGGATTCGCTGAAAAGATGTTTATATTTTGCTCGGCGAAATTCAGAAAACTTGAATTGTTTCTTAGCGAAGACGACTGTCATCCTACTTTATATTCATCTTGAGAAGACCTGGCAGCAGTTGTTTTTGTGAGTAATAAATTTATGTCTTCTTTCGGTGTAATTTGTCTTGTTATTGCAAGAGTAATTTTCCACCTGCTTCAGTCGGATTGTTGGGCGATAACAAAAGTGCATAATTTTTCGCTATTGAGCTTACTTTATAATTGACTTTGTTTTGTAAAGGATAAAAAAACGTTAAAAACGGAGGACACTTAATACAAATTGGATATTTCCCAACACACTGAGACCAATTTGTGGTCTTTTTCCAGCTGAATGTCAGTCTTTACGGCAGACATTTCTACGATTCAGGCTCTAATCATTTTACTATTAAAGTCTCAGCGTTTCACGCGCCGTTAGTCTGGTAATTATACGAAAACAAAAGCCCCACGGTTAAGCTCAACAGTAAACACCCCAACGGAGCACCTTGACTTATTATTATAACAACAATTAATAACTTAACAAGGATCAATTAAACACGCGACTAATAATTGCTGGCAGTAAAACCAGACACGAGATACCGTTTAAAAACTTATGAATAATTAAAAAACAATAACAAAAAGAATCAAATACACAGCGATTTGAAAGGAATCTATTAAAATAGTCAACGAAAGCAGGCTATCTTTTTTTTACACTGCGTTTCCCGCCTCAATATTTTTATTTCTCTCCTCCACAATTTTAATATTTCCTCCTTCTCCACAATTTTAATGTTTCCCCACCTCCTCCTCATTCTTAAATTCCCTCCTCCTCAATTTTGTTATTTTCCCTCCTCATTCTTTTTATTTTCCTCCTCCTCCACAATTTTTACTATGGTAACAAAAGTGCATAATTTATAATTAACCTGTTTTGTAAAGGATAAACAAACGTCAAAATCGGAGGACACATTATACAAATTGGATCTTTCCCGACACAGACCAGTTTATGGTATTTTTCCAGCTGAATGTCAGTGTTTACGGCAGACTTTTCAACGATTCAGGCTCCATTATTTGCGAAACATCTTCACCGCTTTTGCTGTTGGTTTGAGTGGTAAGAAGCTACATTCCCAAAATGCTAGAAAGTTTTTCATCATTGCCGTCTATTTTTTAGTTCTTAGTACTTGGAAAGGATACAAAAAACACAGCTGAACACGTAATCATGAAAAAATCTTTATTTACGCACGCCCGTGTATTTCATGATTTATACTACTACATGAGAAATTTCTGCAATTTGATTGGCTTAGAGCGGTGGTATTTCAGCTTAATTTGAAACACCCACATGTGAAAATTACAAAACCTTTGCGGGTAGTAGTATAAGCAAATAATAGCATCTCGTGATATTTCAAAATTGTCTCAAATTTCACTCGCCTAACTGCTCGGGAAATTACGTATAACAATTTCGAAATATCACTCGTGGTATTTATGCCAAATATCATTACAAATCATGCTATTACAGATACTAATAAGTTTTTAAACGGTATCTCGTGTCTGGTTTTATTGCTAGCAATTATTAGTCGCGTGTTTAATTGATCCTTGTTAAGTTGTTAATTGTTGGTATGTGTAATCAAATGGTGACGAGTGAAATTAGGGAATAATTTCAAGCGCGTTTTGTCCAAATCCTTATATATATATTATTAGGATTTGGACAAAACGCAAGTGAAATTATTCCCTAATCTCACGAGTATACCATTTGATTACCTATTAATATCATGGGTGACGAATTACGCTAGGAATCTTGGATTTTTGTCATGTTTATCCTGGATCGTATCGATCGAGAACTCAACTCTCTCGAACGTTTAGAGCTTAAATTTGGCTGAAGGTCAGAGTTTTTCGACAAAATACCTGTTAGAATCCTTCTTGATGTGCTCTTTCGAGTGTTCAGGTTTTCTAAAGCGTCTTTTTCTGCTCTGACATCTTCATTCATGACATTTTAAAACTTCGTCGCCATCTTGACACTGAGAAGTACGTTAGGTTACCATGGCAATTTTGTAATTTCACATGTGAAATTACAAATTAGCGCTGAAATTTCGCTCCAAAATTAAGGAGTAATTCGTCACCTATTATGTTATTATAATAATAAGTCAAAGTGCTCCCTTGGGGCTCAGTTGAGCTGAACCGTGGGGCTTGTAAACTCGTATAATTACCTGACTAACAGCGCGTGAAACGCTGAGACTTTATTAGTAAGCTTTTCATTTCCTCGAGATAGATAGGAGGAAACGGTTTTGTAATAGTCAGACAAAATTGAAATAGAGAGTTTTCGGCTCCACTGTGTGTATGTTTGTGTGTTTTGTTTTGTGTTTTGTGTTTTTCCCATTCGCGGGTCGAGGAACAAGCGTCCGAAACAGCTTGAAATTTGCGAACATCTGCAACAAAAAAAATGGTGATAAAAAGTGAATAGACGTTTCCTCAAACAAACGAACTCGAACAAATTGTTTCCTAGCAAAGCGATTGCAAGAAAGACTGAGCGCTTTCGAAAACTACCCGCTTTTATTTTGAGCGCATAATAGATTCTACATAATTGAGCAAATCAGGGTTAAAAGAGACCGGACAAGCCTAGGCAAGCCTTGCCTAGTCCCTAGACCTCATTATTATGCGCGACCGATGCGTTTCGGGTCACGTGGTCCGAGAAAGTTTTTGATGGCCTCTCCCGGCCGTTCGTCTCGGATACGTCATCG